TTTATTTATTTTTTCTATATAAAATAATTCTTGTAAAAAATTAATATAGAATATCTATCGCAACGATATTTATTCATTTCAAAATTCTAAATAATTAAAGTACGAAAATTATATTCCAAATTTTTTTCTATAATATTTTCTCGATGTAAATATAGAATAATAATAAATTAATAAATATACCAATATTAATGTAATCTAAAAAGTAAATTAATAATATACTAATATATAAATATATCGATATTTAATAAGATAAATAAAATTCAATAAAGCAAGATTTTTGCCTCATAAATTGACGATATATAAAAAAATAAATATAATAACGACAAACGAAAATCACAAAAATATATATATATATATTTCTCAATAAAAGTTAGAGAAAATCTTCAAATTTCCAAAATCTTAAAAATTCTTATCCAAGAGATTATCTTCGTAACGAAAATTTTCAAGCAAAATCAATTCAAATTATTTTTCGTATAATTCGACCCTTCTTTTTCTCAATTGCACGAAAGAATAGAGGCAGGGCCCGATAAATTTAGAAGCAATATCGCGAGGAAATAATTCCGGCTTCAAGAAATTTTAGGGCAGCAAATATAGAACGTCTCTTACTCCAAACATTCTAGAAAATTTAAAGGCAGCTTGCCGACGAGAGACAAATTCAAAAAGTAAGCCGAGCTCTAGTATCTTAGAGTAGACATCTTGAATGTTTGAAAAATCATTCAATCGAATTCTCTTAAGCTAAGAATCCGACAAACTTAATGTTCTAGAATTAACTTGTCCCGTATATGTATCTATATTATGTATATACACATATTTCCTCGAATCTTTGAATGCCGTGAAGTCCGAGCCCAGGTCAGAGTTCCCTTAGAGGGAATACGCTCGTGACGATCTGTGTACACTTTGTGCACTTTCAATATCAAAATTCCCTTCGTCAGTCGAGTAGTCGCTGTTTCCATTCTGGTGAGATCTTCTGGAAGATCGGCGAATCGACCGAAAGGAAGGAAAGGAAGGCGGCATGCTGAAGCACAAGAAAAACTCCAGTTCACCAGTCGAAGTTCTGACCACCTCTGCAGTACCGCTGACGGATAGTGTCTCTGAGGAACTCAAACGCAGATCAATTGTGCCAAAAGGCAAGACCTTCCACGCGAGCTCACCTCTAGCTTCTATGAGCAGGACTTCGTCCCAAAGTCGCTTCAGTCTCTTGGAAGTAGCAACAGATAAAACATCTGTCAGTGCCTTGCCCGCAAGACATCCGAGCGGTGCAGAAGCCGCACAGACTTGCATGAAGTCAATGTCAACTTCCAGCAACCCAAGTCGACGAGACCGCGAAACTGGCTCAAGCACTTCCTCTGGCCGGCTGTCTTCTCCTTCTGAAATCGCATCAACTGCGTTGCTGGCAATACTCTTTTGATCCGTAAAATCACGCAGGCCCAACAAGTGATGTATACTACCATCTAACTTGTGGTAGCTGACCTGAAAGACCTCTGTGCGAAACTTGCTTCCACATGCATCCACCAGTCGCGTGTGGAAGGCCCTTGCCGACGCCGTCCTTTCCTTCCTTTCGCTTCCCGGCTCGCAGTCGCCCAGAATTTCAGCAGCACGCTGCTTCTCCGAGACGCCAGCAACAAAGTCGGTAAAGCTCAGGCCCGCCATGCAGAGGCCTTGGCCTCGCAGCAACATGGCAGCCAGTTGCGGGGAGCAGGTCGCGACCGTCAAGTCTTCATGGAGCTCCAACACGGCATCACACGTCAGCTCAAGCAGGGCCGAAGCTGCGTTCAGTTCGGTGGTCGCCTTCGTGCCTCTGACAAACTGTTCGGCGAAGCGCTCCAACGCGGACCGCATGATGAATGACAGCATCACTACTGCCAATGTGCAGAGCACCTCACCGTGCAAGGCCCAGGCTCCTATTTCTTCCTGCTCATCAAATACCATACGAAGGTAGGTCATGACAACGCTGATCAAGTTTGCAAGAAGAACGAAAAAGTAATGATGAGTCATTATTGCAGCGGGCAAGCGATAGACCACTAGCACTACTCCGGAAACGAAGGTTAGGTGTTCCGCATACAGGAACGGAGGCCAAAGGCAGCATGTCAAGCTGGCGCTTCCCACAAGGTACCAGAAGTCCAACGTGTACTCTGACAACAGGCAAGGGAAGATCTGAGTAAAGACTAGGGAAGCGAAGCACGCGACCATAAGCCAGGAGAAAGCATCTGTCATCCATCGCGGCTTTTTGAAAATGATGTTCCACTGCACCATCGCGAGCAGCACACATGCAAGAAATGTCAGGAGTAGTGAATACCTGCGAGCGATGCTCAAGCGCAGCTTGGAGACCTCTCTTGCGACTATCAGTTCATCGGTGTTGGCCTTGGTGGCGCTGCCCTTGCAAAATACTCTCCGATGCAGGCCCAAAATACATCTGCCGTATCTGGCGACTGCCTGCACCATGCTGGAAAGAATCTCCTTTTCGTGCCCCTTGAGATTCCATAGAAGCTTCACGGCCAGGAGGCCTTGAAGAACTCCAGCTGCAGCAAGCCAGGCAGTTTCATCCAATTCCTGTCTCCCTGCAACCTCCATCTTGCCAATGCTACGACAGAGTACCAATACACACTTATGCACTTATCTGTTTGTTTTCTATGTGTGTGTATATATATATATACATACATACGTATATACATATATATATATACCCATATATATATATATATACATATGTTTTATGTATGATACCAGGCTTTTAAAACTTGCTTGGGCCGAAGTCGCCCGCACCGCATCTCACCATCACCAGTCAGATGATCAAAGCACCGAGATTCTGGCTTAATCATGGGCTGATCATGTTCGGGCAGCCACCAGTCTGATTGGAGCCGAGGGGTCTTAAGCAGGCCTCGGGAAGTCCTGTTGGCTACTCGGCTCCTCTAGCCGTGCCAAAATGAACCAGCCAAGCCAAAGCCGGCTTTGCTGCTTGCCCGTTTCACCTTACAGACTAAACAGTTTGAAAACCTAAGACCCATCAGGCGATTCTCATCCTGAGCTTAAAGCATCGCTTTTGGCACAACGGCGACCGCACAAGCATCTCGTGAAACTTGGACCTTCGCACTCGACAGCAAGAATGGTTCTGAAGCGCCGCATGCCCGCACCTCTTGCTTTCAGCATTATCCTTGGAGCCCTTTGACTGCTCTTTGCTCCGTTGCAGATTTGGCATGCAGCGGGGCGTCAAAAGGCCTCAACCATGGACTGACCGAAACAACTTGCCACAGCAGCCTAGACCTTCAGTTTGCCAATGCACTGAAAGCGAAAACATCTTGGTAAAACTCGTACGTTCGTCCGCACAACCTTAACCGCAAGTTCAGTCGCCAGAGTTCTGTCGTACCTCTGCCAAGGCACAGGCAAAATAGTAGACTGATCGTGCGCCGAAAATCTTCGAGCACTTCTGCACACATGCCAGCGGCCACGTTGATACAAGACTGGTTGTTTCCTGGAGCTGAAAGTCAGCGCCTGTCTTTCTGTCGAAAGCCTCGAAGAACTTGAACAACTTCACGACGGCTACCACAAAGATGGTGTTTACGTGCTCATCAAGGGCAGCGACGCAGATCACTCGTAGCTCCCTTGCACAGCCTTGCATTATGTTAGTTTCCTACACAGCGATGCAGGAGAGGATTGGCACACCCGAGCCCGATTTCGTCCAAAACAACGCTCTCAGATCTTGGTTCTGACGAACTCAAAGACCTGACCCCACTGTTCAACAGGCCATGAGTACACCAACCCGCTTCCGAGGTGTTCTTGTGTTTTGAGAGGTGGGAAGGGAAGCTTTCCGAACACTGAATGCTAAGGGCCAAACCCTCAAGCCTTCCCCGTACTGCCCTTGCCCCTTCTCGCTTGTGGCGCGTGCCATGTCTGCCCAAGTTGTTGGCTTTGGCAGCTCCGAAGCCTGGCTCGTCGGGAAAACGGGGGAATCTCCTGCTTTTCGGAGGATCCGGGCCTCCTGTTCGCCTCCAGGCTCTGGGTCCTCAGCAGAAGGCTCCTCCGATCCAGGATGCAGCTACGGATGATGCTTTCAAGCTAAAGCATGCATCTCGGGCACTTCAGGGAGATGCTACAGATATTAGATGATATTAGGGGGTGGGGGCTGAAGACACCCTGTCGCACACATTTAGAAGCACACCCAAGTCCTCTGCTTTGTCAGGAGGCTTTGTTTTGGCCTGCCACCTCCAATCGAAGCACTTCGAAAAGCCAAAAAAAATAGCCTCACAGTTTTCCTCTTTCAGATACCGCTAAGAACTTCTAGCTGTCGGCATACAGTTTCCGTCATCCCGCACGATGGAACACTGATCAAAAAGCACAGCGGGAACATAACTGATTACAAGGCTGGCAGGAGCTGAACTTTTGCTGTTGAACCGGCCGGCATTCTTGAATTTTGAATAATTTTGACAAAGGCTTGTGAGCTTCCTGCAGGAAAAGACCGGTTCTTTTCGGTCAGGGCATCTTGAAACCAACCACATCAAGTAACGGCTGTGCCTCTGCGTGCCAGAACCTTTTGCCGCCTTGCACAGAAGCAGCGGAGTCCAGAGAGCTTGCTGCACGTGCTGTTGACAGGGGTGTGCCCCTTGCAACGGAGCAGGCTCCTGACTCGGCATAGTAGGCCGAGCGTCTAGAGGCTCTGGTTGGCACGAGCTGCTGATGGAGCAACCAACTTTGGCACAGTGGCCTTCTCGGCCCAGCTGGGCTTTCGCCTGGCGCTGCTTGCCTCATCGGCTGCGGCACCTACCAGCACTTGGTGCTCGGGTGGTCGTTGGCAGCGAAGCATTTCCTTTCTAGTCATCTTTCCCCACGGACACATGAAAGCCCAGCCTGCTGAGGCAGTCTTTGCAACCTCTGCGAGTGAGCTACAAAAGAACATCACAACCCAATCTTCGAACAAGATCAATCGAGGGCGGGACCCACTGCATCCTGCCACGGCCATACCTGCCGTGAACACGCACCGCCCGGTTTGTCGTGCGAAACGGAAAGCAAGCGGGACCAGTCGTCTGCGTGGTGCCAACGCTCTGACCACCACCTCAGCGCTTTGTAGTAGTCTACTGGACTCGGCCCATCAGAGATCTCAGGTCCGCGGCTCGTCCTTAGAGTTGTCGTGCCAGTCGTTCCATTCCCAGTCATCTGATGGGGTGGCCTCCTGGAGCCACTTCAGGATGGCCGTGGCTCAAACAACAGCACGTGTGTACCGACTCTTTCGTACTATGTAAATGTAAAGACTGGATTGGACAATTTCATTTCGACTGCGACACTGTTTCCTGCTGCACAAGACGAAAGCTGTGCCTGTGTCTCGGGCTGCTGATCCACACTCCTGCCATCGGCCGTTCAGAATAAAATGAATTCGACGCGAAAAATCTTGCACACGCAGTGTGAGCTGATGATGCACTCATTGAACGCATCGTGGTGCAGTCGCCCGAACAGTTCCTCGAACGGGATGTCCGACTGCCGCGCTCCTGCTCCAACCCGAACATTGAATCCAAGCTGAGCTGTCATGCCAAAGTCGTTGTACGCACAAGTCAGTACAGAGTCAAGCTGGGAAGGCGTACTAGGCTTAAGTCGGCTTCAACGCCCTTGAACAAGGGCGCTGGCTCCAGCAGTAGCAGCAGCAACAACAGCATCAGCAGCAGCATCAGCATCAACATCAACATCAGCATCAGCATCAGCAGCAGCATCAGCATCAGCATCAGCAGCGGCAGTAGCAGTAGCAGGAGCA